TCCTCCTCCCCCACTCCCTCCACTTCCACCCCTTCCCATTTGCCCCCATCCCCCTTTCTCCCTTTCCCCGTTCCTCCCCGCATCCTCCTCCGTCCTCGCCCCTCCGTCCCGCCTCCCCTCTCACCCTTCCCCTTCCTGAAGAGAGAGAGGCCGCGAGGCTCAGCGCGGGCGGGGCCCGCGCCGCCTCCGTCATCTCCATGTAGTCCGAGAAGGGCTGCCTCAGCGGACCGGTTCCACGGCCACGGGTGGCTGGGAAGCCAGCACCCCCCTCCTCCTCCTCCTCCTCCTCACCCTCCTCCCTCTCCTCCTTCCTCCTCCTCTCCCTACCTCACTCCCTTCCTTCCCTCCCCTCCCTCCCTCCCTCCCTCCCTCCTCCCTCCCTCCATCCCTCCCTCCTCCTCCCTCCCTCCTCCTCTCCTCCCTCCTACTCCCTCCTCCCTCTTCCCTCCTCCTCCTCCCTCTCCCAGCCTCCCCTCCTCCCCTCTTCCCTCCTCCCTCCCCCCTCCTCCTCCTCCCTCCTCCCTCCTCCCTCCTCCGCCCCTCCCTCGTCCTCGTGGGCGCCAGAGCTGGCCCCCTCCCCCTTCGCCAAGGGGACCCGTGGGGACACAGTGGGGGGCTTTGAATTAACCATCATGAATTACACCTAGGGCGGGGACTACAAAGCCGACGCGACACTATTGGAGGAGGGGGGGGAGGAGGAGGAGGAGGAGGAGGAGGAGGAGGAGGAGGAGGAGGAGGAGGAGGAGGAGGAGGAGGAGGAGGAGGAGGAGGAGGAACAGGAGGACGGGAGGCGGGGGGGCTGACTGGCTGCAGCAGGGGCGGCCCGGCGGGGAAAAAGGAGGCAGGAGAGGGCAGGGGAAGGGCGGGGGGGGGAGGGGGACGGGGGACGGGAGGCGGTGATGGTCGTGGGGGTCGTGCTGGGTTGTCGTAGCGGTGGCCGTACTGGCGGTGGTCGTGCTGCCGGGCGGCCGTGCAGGTGGTGGTCGTGCTGGGTGGTGGCCCTCCTCCCTCCTCCGTCTTTCCTCCTCCGTCCTCCCTTCCTCCCTCCTTCTCCTTCCTCCTTCCTCTTCCTCCTTCCTCCTCCCTCCTTCCTCCCTCTCTCCTCCTCCTCCTCCTCCTCCTCGCCCTTCTTGCCCCCCCCCCGCTTCGTGCTCCCTCCTCTCTCTCTCGCTCCCTTCGCCCTCTCCTTCCCGCTCCCCGGCGGTCGCTCCCCCCTCGCCGCTTCGTGTGGTCTCGGTCGTTTTCGCTGGTCCCACCGGCCCTCTGGGCGCAGGTGGACTGGGGAGGCTCCTCTTCCAACCCCCCTCTTCCCCTTTCGGCCTTTCGGGAGGGGTTCACCCCGCCCCCTTAACCCCCTCCCGTGGACCTGGAGGGGTGGGGTCGCGGGTCGTTGGAGCGTCCAAGATGGCCTAAGATGGCTCTACGAGGGCCGCAGGAAGCCCACGATGACCTCCAAGATGGCCACAGATAGCCGAAGATGGCTCAATACGTTTCCCAAGATGCTCCCAGAGGCCCCGAGACCCCTCCAAGACGGTTCCAGAGTGGCCACGGAGCCTCCCCAGGAGGCCGCCAAGAGGCCATCATCCTTCAGAAACCGAAGGACATTGCATGAATGTTGCCTTCTCGACTTTTCGCTTCCGAGGCCTCCAGACAGCTCCAGATGGCCGATGAAGGCCCCAAGAAAAGCCCAAGAGAGCCCCAAAACGGCCCCAAGAGCGCCCGAGAGCGCTCCAAGAGCGCCCCAAGAGGGGCCCAAGAGGCGATTTGTTTGGGCTCCCGAGGGGGGATCGTAATTTGAGTTCCCATCGTTTTTTGGTTGGTCTCCTCGAAGATGGCCCCAGGAGCGCTCCGAAGGCTCCCAAGAGCGCCTCCAAAGGGCCCCAAGAGGCACCTAGGAGGCCTCCCAAGAGACCCCCAAAATGCCCCAACAACTTCCCCGAGGCACCCAAGACGCTCCAAGAGGCCTCCGGCGTCCTCTTTTTCTTCTTCTTCCTCCTCCTCCTCCTCCTCCTCCTCCTCCTCCTCCGCTCCATCCTCCTCCCTTCCCCTCTTGGCGTACGACGCTCTCTCCAGCTCTTTGTTCCCGTGTGTGCTCCTCCGCTTCCCTGATCAAGGCAACTCGCCTGGGCATCGTTTCTGGATGGGCCAGTGGGGATACGCGAAACGTCAATACTTGTTGACCCTCGCAACCCCCACGAAGCCCATGATCCTGATGACCCCTTTATGAGCCTTGCGACACCTACGCATCCTTTGAACCATGCGAATCCTATGAACCCTATGAAGCCCATGAACCCTATGTGACCTCCAAAAAGCCCTGAGACCCTCCCCTGTGAGCCCAATGAACCCCATCCATCAACCCTACGAGCCCATGAGCCCAATGCGCTCCTGAGCCGTACGACGCCTATGACGACCCTTGCGAGCCTTTCGAATCCTGCGAATCCTACGCCCCCACTCGGCGCTACGAGCACTCCTCCGCCTCCGCCTCCGCTTCTGGCTTGTGCGCCGCGAACGACGGCCGAGCCTTCTGGATGAAACCCGGTTCCTTCTGGGATCAAGTAGAAGGCGATAGTAAGGGGGGAGAAGGAGGAAGGGGGAGGAGGGTTAAAAACGGTATCGACACAGCCCAAGCCATTAAAGAAACACTACACACATGATCACCGTACAAATTTTTGATAGGGAGCATAAGCGAGCCGAATCCGAACAAAACGCCGGCGACAGGAGAGAACTGGCAGTGAACGCCTTATTTTTATCACACCCCGAGCTCCGCTGCACGTTCGCAGGTCGCGCCCCGCGCGCAAGGCTGACAGGCCCACGACAAGTCGACCATGCTCGTATCCAAGCTATGCACTCGCGAGAGACTCTGGCCTTTTAAGCCCATTGTGCGGCCCTTCGAACCGAATTATCATGCGTACCTCTGTGGCGCTGGTGGGCCTATAGCGGCCCGCCGCCCCCGGGGCGGCGGCAGCGGCGGCCGCCGAGCAGCCGCCGGCGCCTGCAGCCGCCGGCGCCTGCAGCCGCGGGGGCGGCGGCAGCAGCGGCAGTCAGCGGCGGCGCCGCCGCTGGGCGCGCTAGGACACCGGGCTGCCCTGGGGCGCGCGCCCTCTGGGTCACACCTCCCGCGTCCGCACTTTTCCTGCGCTTGGCGTTGCCCTTGCCCTTGCCGCCCCGGCCGGCCTCGCCCTTCCCCTCGTCGCCTCTGCATCCCTTGGGGCCCTCGCCGCCCTTGCCCTTGTTCCGCTCCGCCAGCGCGCGCTCCAACTAGAGGAGGCGCCGCAGGGGGGGCTCAACGCCCGCGACGCGCGCGGGGCGACCGTCCACGTCCAGGCCGCGCGCCTTCCTCAACAACCGGTCAAGAGACCCGAGCGCGCTCTGAACGAGAAGCGACTGTGTACAGAACCGCAGCTTCGTTTTGAAGACGCCCGGCAGGCGCTGCCCACCGCCGCCCCCGCTGGCCGTGTCGTTCCACTTCCGCTCCTCGTAGACACCCACCATCCAGTTGCGAGCTGACAGGACCCTGTGCAAGCAGCGCACTGCGTCAGTGCGCTCCTCGTCGCCGCCGCCCATCGGGACGTCGAGCGGCCGGGTCAAGTCGAGGCGTCCCGCAAACTCCTTGCGCACCACGTTGGGCCATTCCCCCTTGAATCCGCGGAAATTTCCGGCCTCCATTCTACCCAAGTAGAAGACGTCCGCTTGCGGAAAGCGCTCTACAAGCAGGACGCACTTCGTAAGCAAGGCGCGCAAAGCCGCAGAGTGGCGGCGCGTGGTCTGCTCGAGCTGATCGATGCGATTGCTGTGATCGTTGAACGTTCGGTCGACCTGTGCGCGGCGAGCAGCCGCCATCGAGGTCGCAAACAATGTGTCAGATGGGCTGACTCCTCTCGCAGATGCACGCATAAACAAGACAGGAACATATGTGGCGGCTGGAAGAGAAAGGAGGGGAAGGGCACGGGGGGCGAGGGGGGTGGCGAAGGGGCAGGGGGCAAGGGGAGAGGACGAGGAAGGGGGAGAGGAGAGACGAGGTGGGGCAGGAAGGCAGAGGGCCGGGAACCGACCACCACCACCGAGAGGAGAGATCCGAGGGGAGAAAGGAAACACACCCCAACGCGTACCACCGCCTCGGAGAGACGCAGCACCGATACACTGTCCCGGCTGCAAGAGCGCGGGGGCGGCTTTGACCCGCCCCCCGACGAGACAGGCTGGCTCGGCGGAACTATAGAACCGCCAGCCGCCCCCGCGGTCGAACTTCCGAGGATCGCCGCCGGGCCCGAAAAGGCCACCAGGAGACACAACGACACGAGGATAACACCCACCACTACGGGGGCGGCGACCAACGCCACCACGCGAGAGAAGGAGGACCACGCCACAGGAGGAAGAATACCACCGCCACCTTTCAAGCCATCGACCGGCAAAAGCGCAGCATTGAGGGATGGCCCTAATGGTGGCCCGCGGGGCGCCGTAGCGCTAACCTCATGGCGACACTAAGATCTGGCTGCTCGCGGCCCCGTGCGCGAAATAAAACTTTGGCTGCTGCCCCCCTGCCGCGGCCCGCGGCCGCCGCCTTGGCACCGCCCTTCGCGCGCGGTTTCGCTTTGGGCACAGCTGGGGCAGCCGCGGGGGCTGCAGCTGCGGGCGCCGAGGGGTCTGGGGGCGCCGGCACGCGCGCGCCGCGACACCATTTTTCATGATTGCCACGTGGGCAAGAGAGATCATGCCCGGTGGGCCAGTGGGCGCCAAAACCTTGCCGCATTTACTGCACGTCCTATTCAGGAGATCACTCCCGCGGCATTTGTTCTTGTGCGTTTGCCTGCACCCCTCTTTGGCCACCACCCTGCACTCACGACACTTCATCCCTGGTGTGGTGGCAACTCCTACGACCGAGCGCCGGCAGAAATGCCATTTAATGTCCTTGGATAGGACCTCGATGCCGCATTTGTTGCAAAAGAGGGGGGCGGCGACCTGGGGAGGGGGCGCAAGCCATCTCAGACTGCACCGAAGCCATGCCCTGAAAACCCAAAGCCGCGACACGACCCGCGAGTTCGTTGTCATGCGCGCCCGTGTGCCCGCACACGTGTTCCCATGTAAATAAGTGTCTAGCCATAACCTGCCCCGTCAGCCCCTGCACCGTTTCCGCCACAGTTCCTCATTAGTCTTCACCTCCCAGGGGCCGCGGGCAATGTTGGCTGCGTGCTCCGAATCATAGCGGGTATGCGCGGACACATCTCCACCATCTAGCGCCTCATTCAGCAACCACTGCATGATTTCCCCGATGGCAGACAGCTCTGCAATATTATTCGTTTGGGTCCGGGCGCCAATACACCTGTGATCCCAAGCTCTACGCACCACAGGGGCGTGCAGCACGAAATCAGGCATCATCCCCGGGCTGCCTTGCCCTTGGCAACGAGAGACCACTGCGCCCCAGCCCGCCCCCCTGTCGAGCCCTGACCCGTCCGTGGCAATCCACCAGCCTAAAGGCGGCGCGGCGTGTGGCCCATGGAGAACAGGCTCCCGCTTGCCGAATTCCACCTGCATGGCATCTGGCAGTTCGAGCCTTGCGAGACATGTGGCCTGGTGGAATTTCACATGTCTGCCCATATACTGCTTGCAGCCAGGACACTGGTGGCTCACGCTGGTGACAACCATAGGGTCCCGAACCGAATATTCAACATCATAATGGTACTGGAACTGGCTGCCCGTGACGAAGTTTTACTACACACAAGGCACGAGTACGCGGTCTCCTGGGCCTCCTCGTCGTCGTCGGAGGGGAGGGGGGGGAGGGGGAGGAGGAAGAGGAGGAGGAAGAAGAGGAGGAGGAGGGGGAGGAGGTGGAGGAAAAGGAGGAGGGACAGCCGATGACGACGACGACCCCGCCCCCGACGACGGCAAATGAGCCCCGGGATGCCACGCATTGATGGCCGTTCGCTGCTCCGTCGTCAACGGGTCTCGCGGGAAACAATCGTCGATCGACGTGGTATTAATTGACACGGGTCGTGCACCCCCAGCACGCGCGCATGGGCGTTCGAATGATTCCGCCACGCTGGAAATATATGTTTGAACGAACTACGGCGTTAGAATTCGTAAGGGCGCGCGCGCGTACACACACACACACACACACACCTGTTTTGACACATCATTTCTTTGTCAAATGAATAAAACGCATGCATTTTCAAGACACGCGATTTTGACCCCCCCCACGGTGCCCAAAGTTTTTGGGAAAATTTAGGCATGCGGGCGCCACGACGCGCGCGCGAGGGATTCCTGCAACTGGATGATTTGTGATAGAGGAATGCGCGCGCATAATGTTTTTCGACGAAAATGAGGGTGAGGGGGTCGAACCCTGTTTGGCTGATGTGTAACTAAATTCATGTCTAAAACGAATGACAGGGCAACATCACATGCAAATTGCACATCCCCAGGGGGTGCGGAGAGTCCGGCCTCGGGAGGGTCGTGGATCCTAACTCTCTTTTAGAATGGAGAGTCGCCGTGGTGCGGCATAATCTGTTGTGCAATCTATGCGGTAGTACCGACGTGGTGCAGTCTACGTGGCGCAATGCATGTTGTGCAATGTATGTGGTGCAGTCTGTGTTGTGCAATATATGTGGAGTAATCTATGTGGACCAACGTATGTGGTGCAAACTTTGTTGTTAGGGGGCCACATGCGAACCCTACCCCTACCCTCCACGATTTCTGCGGGCGAGGTGGGGGTTCACTTCGTTCGGGGGCTCCCGAGCGAAGCGAACCCCAGCCTCCCCCTCAGAAATCGTGGGGTAGGGGTAGGGTTCGCATGTGGCCCCCTAGTTGTGCAACCTATGTTGTGAAATCAATGTTGTGCAATATGTGCGGTGCAGTCTACGTGGTGCGATCTATGTGGCGCAATGTATGAGGTGCAAAACTATGAGATGCGGCGGCGGGGCGGCAACGGCGACTACATAGCCGCCAGACCGACGCACAGGCCCAGACGATGGGCGGCGGCAGCGAGGCGGCGCACGTCTCTAATGCACGAGCATGCGCAACACGACACATCGTGATTTGCAATCACACCAATGCATACAACAGAGAACCTGGGCGAAGCAAGTGCACGGGAACACAACGCACCCACACACACATACACGGCGAACTTGCATAGTGGCGCCCCGAATGACCGCGACAGGTAACACTAACGAATCGGTGAACACGACAATGCAAGAAAGTGAGATATGACGATGGCGATGTGACTGTACGCGACATGAACGTGAAGTTCCTCCTCTCCATCCTCCTCCTCCTCCTCCTCCTCCTCCTCCTCCTCCTCCTCCTCCTCCTCCTCCTCCCCCTCATCCTTCTCCTCGACGCGTTGCATCTGATCCCTCTTCCTCCTCTGCGCGGCAGGGACGCATGCGTGTCCACCGCCCGGGGAACCCGTGTCCTTGGACCCCAGGAGGCGGCGGAGACGGAAACATGATTCAGGGCGTCGGGGGCCCAAGTCCCGCCCCCCCCCAATGGGATGGGCCCCAGGGATCCTCCTCCTCCTCCTCCTCCTCCTCCTCGCCCCTCCCCTCTTCCTCCTCCTCCTCACCCCCCCCCCCTCCTCCTCCCACCCCCCCCCCTCCTCCTCCTCCTCCTCCTGCTCCTCCTCCTCTCTGCCCTCCTCCTCCTCCTCCTCCTCCTCCTCCTCCTCCTCCTCCTCCTCCTCCTCCTCCTCTGGGATGGAGAGGAAGGGGACGACGACGACGGCGACCGCGCGACCACCACCACCACCGCCATCAGGACGACGACGACTACAGCGACGATTGCGACGACGACCACCACCTCCGAACTTCTGCTGGGAGCCCAGGCGGCCCCCCTCTGCAAGGTTGCAGCCCTCCCGCTCCCTGAAGGAACCACCCATAGCACCACACTCACACGCATGCGCGACAGCACGCACGCACGTCCACTCCCCCCCACCATACCACACCACATCACACGGGGGGGACCATCACCATACCAACGGGAGGGGGGAATCCCTGGACCCTGGAACATACGTCTGGGCTTCAGGGGACCCGAACATTTTCTTGCCTGGGGCCTCCCGAAGTCCAGGGATATCGGCTTCCCAGGCGACAGATGTGGATAAACCTTGGCCCCAGATCCTCGTCCTGATCGTCCGCCACCTCGCCCCCTGCTCGATCTACTGCTCTTTTCTGCCCAGCGCGGGCCTTGACCACGAACGGGCTTCCCGATCTAGACCTAGGAAAAGGTCCGAAAACAAGAATCCCTCCCGAGCCTGACGTGGTCATTCGCTTTGCGTCCTCCTGATTGTATTCCTCCTCCTGACTGTATTCCTCCTCCTGACTGTACTCCTCCTCCTCCTCCTCTTCCTCCTCCTCCTCCTCCTCCTCTTCCTCCTCCTCCTCCTCCTCCTCCTCCTCCTGCTCCTCCTCCTCCTCTTCCTCCTCCTCCTTCTCCTTCCGCTCGCACGAGGCGGCCCGCTGCTCGGGCCGCCCGCCCAGAGCCGGCCCCTGCCAAGACAGCACGCGGTGCCGGCGGCTCGGCCGGGGCCCGACCCCGCTGGCGGGCGAGGGGCGGGCACTCGACTCGGCCCTCCCGCCCGTCCCAGTCTCCGGGTCGTGCCTGCTCCTCGGCCGGGGCGACCCCCCGAGTCTTTTCCTCCGCGCCCTCGTCCTCAGCCCCCCCCCCCCTCCCCTCGACCCCCGATTCTTCGAGCCCCCTGCCTTCCCCCTCCCCCCGAGAGAGCTCACTGGGGTGGATGCCGCCTTGGCCTCCGGGCTCAGCCGCGTACTGCCACTCCACCTCGCTTGCTGCGTTGACCACTGCCGTGGGGAGGGAACGCCGCCCAGCTCCTCGCCCATCCCCCATCCATCTACCACTCCTCCTGCCCCTCCCCTTTCCACCTTCCTCCCTTCCTCCTCGTCTTCCTCCTCGTCCTCCTCCTCCTCCTCCTCATCATCATCATGTTCCTCCTCCTATTTCTCTGATTACTCGTATTAGTTGTCACATTGTTATTATTGCGTTTGTTTTCTGATTATTCTTCTGACGTTGTATGTTTGTTATTTTTCTTCTTCGTCCTCCACTTCTCCAGTTCTCCTCCAACTCGAATAACTCTCCTCCTCCCCTCCCTCCTCCCGCTCTTCCGCCTCCCCCTCCTCAAGCCCGGCTGCTCCTCCTTCTGCTTCACGGCGCTGCTCCTGCCCCGGCTCGAGCAGCCGGCCCTGCTCCTCCCTCCTGCTGCTCCTCCTCCTGCTGCTGCTTGCTCCTCCGCCTGCACGATGCTCGATGCTGCGGAGCACTTTCGCACCGCGCCCAGCCCCGGGGAGGCAGTGACCCAGACATGCTCGCGTCGCAAAACATTCGGGACGGAGGCTTTTCGTCGTTTTCGGCCTCTGGAGGCCCTCGCCGGGCCCCGGGACCGTCAACAAAAAAGGACTCAGGATGAGAAACCGGCCCCGGGGAAAAAGGGTCGGGACTTGCGGGGACGCCGCCCTGAGAAAATCAGAAATCAGGACGTCGCATGTCTGGGAGTGAAGAGGGGGGAGACAAAAGCGGGGCGCGCCGCGTAGGGGGGATGGAAGGCAGCAGGGCAGGCGGCGCAGAGCAGGCGGCGGCGAGAGCGCCGCCAGGGCGCAGGTCGGCGAGCGAGCCGCACTCGGCCCTTTCCTGCTGCTGCTGCTGCTGCTGCTGCTGCTGCTGCTGCTGCTGCTGTTGCTCCTCCCCTCCTCCTCGTCCTCCTCCTCGTCCTCCT